CTGAAGGTAGATGGTCCTGTGGTTAAGGCTTTCTGCTGAGGACTCAGTGCAGTCTCTTTCTAGCCCCTGCACTGACAAAGGGAGCACCAGCAAGGAACTACCCCTGTCACTATTAGGATGTCCCCTAATAGGGCCTCACGTGCTGGGTGAATCCATTTGACTGAGAAGGTTCCTCTAGACCCTGCTTGGCGCAGCCCGCTCTAAGCAGCGCACAGCTGGGGTGAGCCAGTTCCTTGCAGGGGAGCGGGAGCATCACCGAACTTTGGTCACAGCGGGGCTGTCTGAAGGGCAATGGAGGGTAAGATGCGTTTCTGCAGGGCGCGAAGGATGGCTTCTCGCTTCACACTGAGTGGGTACATCACTGTCTGTCCATAGCACGGGGCGTTGATGAACCCCACACCTGTAGCATGCGCGTCTGGTGGGGGGGATTCCAGCAGATGTTCTGGGAGGGAAAGCGATTTGTAGTGTTGAATGTGATGCTGGAGATCGCATTCATTGTAAGAGACAGCACGATACAAACATGTCTGCAATCACTTCTTGAATTTTACTGAGTGTGTGCAAGGGAATGGTTCTCCTGAGGTCACCAGAACATCTGGGGCAAAACACAGGTTAAGCAGCTGGTGTCCCCAGCCAGCTGACCACTGCTCTGCTCCCTGCCCGGTGTGCACAGTGACATCGCTCTCCTTTACTGCAGCCCCCCCTCTGCTGACTCCTTTTGCTGGAAGTCCAGCGCACTGGAGCGTGTCTGGTTGGGTACCCCAGGCCGGGGGGACTCTAAATCACATCGAGCCCCACGCAGAGCCTGTCCCCGGCTCAGGTCAGAGTGGACAAGCAGCACAGCTGAGGTCTCCTGGCTGGACTCATTCTCCCGCAGGACTTGGGCTTTCTCTGAGCAGCACACGACTCTGGGGCTGGTTCTCGGTAGCGGTGTCCTTGCGAAGCAGTGCGGGGGTTGTGTGGTCTGGTTTGTGCTTGCTCTACAGTGGGCTTTTTATTTCTCTTAACTTCAATGACCTCACACCAGTTTGGAGACTTCTCTTACCAGTACTTTCTCTCTGTTCTGGGACTTGCTTTTCTCCTGGACAATTGCCATTTTCCTGCTGGAGAAGGGTACCAGAGTGGCAGAAAGAGGGTGATTCATATTGGAGAATTCAGGAGGGAAAATCAGCAGCCACAAATGAGCGCGTGCAGCATGGGAACGTGCCGTGAAATAACAGCCGAGGAAACAACCTAAAGGCACTGGCTGCGTTCAGTGACAGGAAATAAAACAGTGAGGACCATGTTAATGGTTAGCTAATCACGTAATCTGTGTTGCAGTCGTTGGGTTTTGCCTCCTGTACACCCAGTCTGCAGATGCTGAGCGATTCCAAATGCCCTGTATTGCAGCCGGCGCTGGCCTCTGCTTCTGAGCAGGTTACTTCATGGGGTCACAAGTGCAAGAAGGTTTCAGGATCTGCAGCCTGCTTCCAGCTATGTGGGTTTTTTTTTTGCATGGATTCACTGAATTTCAGCTCATGTCAATTTAAATACCTATGTCAGGAACCCTCCATAGCCCCAAAACTTACTCAGAGACTGACTAAGAAAAGATTTTGACACCACAGAGCATGCTGCAATGAGAAGCTACAATATCATATATTTCTTTAAGGGATGCTTACATGACACATTTAAGATACTTATAGGTGATCTAAAAAATTATCAGGTACCCCTCAGACTGCATGGGCTTAAAGACATTCCCTTTAGGTCTTCTGGGGCTGTAAGTCAGCGCAGGGTAATACCATGCGTGTAGGCACCTCCCTTTGCTGTCGCGTCTAGAAGCAGCCCAGAGATTTAGCAGAATTTGCTCATTTGAAAAAAGGTAAAATTTTCACACTGGGCAAAATGTTAGAGAGTGAGGCTGATCTTGCTTTTTAAGGGTAGCTTTTTGTAAAAGGGCTGTTTGGTGACTCAGCCACAGGTTACTGGGAAGTTACAGGTAGTCTCTGGAGGACGAGGAGGGGCTGTGTCAGGAGAAAGTGAGGTATTCGCAGAATACGATGTGTTGTAAAGTGTTAACACATTTATTAATCGTATGTGGGCAGAAAACTTCATACACCCTATCAGAATTTACAGTACCTATGTCAGTTCCGTATTGTGTCTCTGTGTTGTGAATCAGCCAATGTGTGACATTAATTATTTACATTTACCATTGTGCAAACTGACATAATGATGAATTATGGGTGAACATGTCATTTACTGATGTACGGAATTAATCCCCCAGTTTTCTGAAATATTCTGGAATTCTCCTTTGCATGCTATATCTACCCAAATACTATTTTTGTCCAAAGGTAACATTCTTCCATGGCTGAGAGGTGCAGCACGCGTTGCACAGAGTCTGCTTCAGCAGCAATGCCACGTGCAGGTTCCACGGCGGTGGCTCTCCTCCCACTGCCATGTATGGTTCACAGCTTCTTCGGCTTGTTCACCGCTTTTGGGAAATGTTTCTCTATGAAGTTCCAGGAAATTGCTTTACAGGTATCTCACCTCCTTTGTTCAACCATAACTGGAAAACAAGGTGTTTGCCTCGCAGTTCGGTGACATATGACCGCTTTCAGGAAGTATTTGAAAAAATGTTGAAAGAATGCAGGGTGTTTGGTCTAAAAAGAGAGAGGGGAGAACAGGCAGAAAAAACACCTTCCAGAATGAAGATTTCTCTGGAGACCCTGGAAATCAACCATTCCCTGTGCCCACAGAAAACCGGGCAAAAAAAAATCAGGTTCATTTTCTGGAAAGATCGTCTAGGATACATATTAGAAAAAACTTCATAATTGTACAGAGAGATGAGTCTTGGAATGACACAGGAAGGTTTGGACTTTCCTTTTCTAAAGTTCCAAAGAAGAGCTTAGGCAACCCTTGGGCAGGAAAGGTCAAGAGTGACATCCTCTGTGGGTACTCTTAAACTAGATGATCTGCAATGGTGGGATTCAGGCCCAGGGGACTGTCCTAGAGGCTGACACAGTTACAGAGCTGGAAGAAGCCCTACAAGGTGATGGCCGCCATCCCATCCCTCAGAGACTCCTTAGGCAGAAATGGATTTGTTGTGCTGGAAGAGGCAGTGCAGAGCAAAGGAGTCCCACGGCAGCTTTGGGGAAGAGCTCTCAAGGAATGTCTTTTCTCCCATTTTCAGCCTCTGTAGTTCCAGAACTGGCATTTCCCTCTGTCTTTATCATAATTCAGCACAAACAGGCCTTTGAACACCACTGAATCAGAACTATCAACAAGTGATCCTTTTTTGATGAGAAAGAAACATGTCCCAAACATTCATCTCAAAAGCAGAAGAGACAGGCTGTGGAGACATTCAGTCTGGAAATCAATGCTTTGTGTAGGAGCTGAGTCTGAACAGACTGTATGAATATCTGTGTGTGTCTGTTTGTTTTGAGTTACCAATGCTGTTTTCAGCTTTGGTCAAATAAAATTTTATAACGATTTTTTAAAAATTCCAGACTGGATTTTAAAGGAAGTATACAAAGCGCGTTTGTCAAATTTACCACTGGAGTAAGTGACACAAGCACTGATTTCAGTGAGTGTAGTTTCTTACTGTAGTAGCTGACTTGGCCTAATTCAACTGGAAGCTGGACAAATACCTCCTTTGGGCCAAAGCCACCTCAAGCAAAGCTTATGTAAATCTCTTAATATCAATAATCCTATGCCTGCTAAACCCAGTAGTTATTTTGGTTGTATCTGGCAAGATAAAATTATCTGTACTCAAAAACAGTGATTCAGTTTGTTGCCGCATTGTTGTGTATTAATACAACCTATCCAGCAGCAATATATTTGTATGTAAATACACCCACTCACAAATATGTATACACAAATGTCTACATTTAGACATATAGAGAATAGGTATGCGTTCTGCATACACGCCATATCACACCATGGTTCTGTAAGCGACAGAGGTCACTGTAGCACAGGACAAAGCTCCCTTTTGGCATCCACCAGAGGCACCCCTGCAGGCAGTTCCATAGCAAGCAGCAACAGCTTTTGGAGTGATATTAGCTGAAAGTTGTATTTCTACGATAGCAATGGCAGCAAGATGCATTCATAAATAAATATTTACAGGAAAAGTCCTTGTTTGGGAAAGAAATGAGCACTTGCTCTGGAAATCCTGTGGTACCAGTGACGTCCCTACGGTGGTACTCAGTAGCATCAAAATTCTTTCAGTGAATTCTGTTTGCATTGGGCTGAGTGCACACGTCTTCCTATACATCATTTCTCCCTCTGGTTTTCCCAGCTGTCTTTACCAGTAACACTTTCACAGAGCAGGCCAGCCCTCCTCTCTCCCAAATCCATTCATTCATTCTTCACTTAGGGCTTATTCCCGCTGCCAATGAACCCAAAGGTGCTCCAGACACATTCCTTTTCTCCAACCAGCTCTTTTTCCTGTCATCCCTTGAATGTATTTTTGTGGCTGTAACATAAGAGGGGCACAAGACAAAAGGAGGCCCGCACTGAATCACTGCACAACACCCTATTCAGCAGCCCTCCTTCCAGCACTACAGCTCTCAGCTTGCCTTTGCTGTGCTGTAGCCAAGGGGAAACAAGGGAAACATGGCTTTGTTCCAATGTAGGTTGTTTCCACACCCCTAACTGATTAGGAGTTCGGTATAAATCAATGTAATTTGGTTTAAAGAAGTGAGGAGAGGTGTGAAACGGTACTTTCTACTAAAGCACAAAGTATACACAGTCCAAAGGTTTCATAAATGATTTGACCTTCATTTTTTCTCGTGTAACTGAAACACATGCCAACATGAAATACAAGCCAAACATATGCCATTCGTGTCAGCAAAAGAAGTTATTAGGACATAAAATGAAAATGAAATCCACATTCTCTGTTCTTTGTACTTCAGCAACAGAAGATGTCTGGCAGCTCTAGAAGATAAGGATTACCTCTGTACTCTATATATCACATTCTTTTCCCTGATCTTTTTCCTTGAACTTTGGAACTTAATCCTTGACGTCTTTTTTCAGGAACATGAGCAGCCTTTGACATGGAAGATATCTGAATGTGGAATCCTACATACAGTAAGTTTCACCTTAAAAAAGAAAAAAAAAGAAGAGAAACTTCTGTATCTTGTTATATCTGAGCAATATTTGTTCTACTATCTAACTTATATTTTAACTGGCTAAATAAAAATACCCTGTCAAGAGAGACGATTATTTTTTTCTTGATGAGACTGGCTTTCTTTTCTTCAGATGGCAACAACATCTCGTGACCTTAACGTTCTCAGCAAAATTCAAATACGAGTGTGTTCAGGTATGGGTCAGGTACTGAAATAGAAGTCCATCTGAGAGGAACATAGGTATCAACATGCAGCGGATCATAGTGGTGTTAAGGCGCCACTTAGAAATCTCCCACATTCTCCAAAAAAAGTGGTATCACACAAGGAGATGTGTGGTGCTTGATAACCAACAGGAGGTAGGAGTCTAGGGCTCTGCCTTTAATACCTAAAATCACTATAAGCAACTACACATCCACTGGAGGCAATTGTTTATTTCACAGTGTTTGGAATTCTTGGGCCTTGACCAAAAAAAACCAAGTAACTCTAATATGTGGTTGCCTTGGGGCATCTCTTGGGGTTGTTCAGACTTTTTGATATCAGGTCCTCAGACACAGCAGTGCTGACCTTGCATGCCCCAAATAGCCCAAGAATAAGAGATGCTACAACAGAGTGATGCTGAGGAGATATTTGGCACTGAAGTCATTCATGCCCAACTCAAAACAGAGTAAACTGGTTTGAATGAAGCCACTTGAAATGCAAAAAGCAATTTGCTTTCTCATTTGGCTTGATTCATTTGACTATCACCTTCAGGTTTGTCAAGCTTACCTCCTTCCTTGTGGATCTGCTGATAAAGAAGTAAGCCTCCTCCACGCCCTGGGGCTGCAGATCATTCACAGCCACTATATGGTCTCCGTGGTTAAACAAACACCCCAGATGGCAAGGACCAGTCCACTGTGAGACACTAGGGTAGTTGGAGGACAGACAATAAGGAAACACATGGGATATCCAGTTACTGCTCACAGAATGGCAATGGCTGGACAGGATTGCATTTCTGGTACTGCCCTCCGGAAATAACACACAGGTTGAATGACTTTGTGACTTTTTGATCTGGTTCTAGCTGAAACCAAGCTGCTTATCCATCCCAACAGGTCCTCCTGAAAACACATGACACTGACGTTGCAGCACGTCAACAAGTGAGACTGGTGCTAGCAAGGTCACCAGTGAAACCTGGGGATTCCAGTCCAAAAGCAGCAGACCTGACTCGCTGTAGGTGTTTCAGCCTGATGTGTGACTGAGATTATTTGTGACGTCATCCCGAAAGAATGAAATATGAAATTAAATCTTATTATTGTGTGGTTTATCTATGATATAACTGCAAGAATCAGACATCCATTGCTGTCCTTATAGGGCCCTTATGGGAATTCCAGTGTCTCTTTCCTGATGGTCTCTGACAGACTTTCTTTGATTCAGGACTAGCTGACCTGACAGTCAGACCTAGTGCTCTGTTCTGTTCCAGAACAAGCCTCAAATTCTTCAATATGAATTTCCTCTGAGAAAGCTCTGTAAATTTAGATGTAGATCCCGTTATTGAGGTGGGGTGCCATTTCCACTCCCTTTTGCAGCGGTATTTTTTCTTCTTGCTGATAGTGGCTGAAAAAAAGTGCCTTGCTGTGCACGCAATGCAGCTGATCGGTGTGAACATGAAAGCAACAGCAAAAAGCAGTCTCGGTGCTGTGTGGCAATGAAAGATCAACAGGAAGCACAGGAGTATGCATTGAGCATATTTGTTCTGCTCCATCCTTTTCATCTTAGTCATTGACATTGAAGATCTAGGGACAGCACGAGTTTCCAGTGGGACTACTAAGAGGATGTATGCGCTCTAGCCCATAAAACCTACTTGCAAAAATCTCTGCTTAGCACTCATTCCTAGCACTGAACCACTGCTGGGATTAATTTAGAGACAATTTTGTACTAAAATCCAACTCAAGTCAGCTGGAGGCCCTGTTTACCCTATCACAAGAGATATCCCCTCACTGTATCTCTGAGACACATCATCACTGCTGTTCACCAGATCACAGATAAAACTGACTAGCAGTAATTAGGTGATTTCACACCAACATCAGAAGAATAGATTTTGGTGTGGGACTTCATCACTAATTATTACACAGCATGCTGAGGGACCTCAATTCTATACAGCCCTTTTCAACAGCAGTTGAAATAGAAACTGAAGTACATGAAGGATCAGAAAGAGCAGAAAGGAATCACCGAAGTACCAGCACACACTGACCCTGCTCTGTATGTTTGTGGACTTGAACCTGACTGCCACTCATTCACATCTGACAGGCACCATCACAAGACACTCAGAACTTACCATATTTGTCCTGCTGCTTCGGTAAGTTTTAGGTAACTGTTAATATCAGCAAGGGGGACAAAAATATCCAGCTTCTGCAGTTGAGTCTCATCTGTAACTTGACTGTGAGAGAAAACATCAGAGATCATAGAATCCTAGAATCACGGAATATCTCAAGTTGGAAGGGACCCATAAGCATCATCGAGTCCAACTCCCTGCTCCTCGCAGGGCTGCCTAAAACTAAATCATAAGACTAAGAGTGTCATCCAGACACTCCTTGAACTCTGACAGGCTTGGCACACTCTACCAGTACCTCAAGTGAAACCCACAAACACGTCTGTTTTCTCTGCAGTGAAAATGGAGAAGACACTTACCTGAGCAGTATAGACAACTGAACCACTGAAAGTGGTAATGAATTTTGCCTTCTCTGGAGGGTTGGCTGCTGGCTGGTGCTGCTTTCTGGGAGTTTTAGATCTCTGTTTGCTTTCAAGTCTCCTGGACATGCATCATTGTCTTGGTGTTTGGGAGGAGAAGGAAGCCCATTACATCTGCACGTGAGCTGGCAACTCTCATCCAGCAACCTACTGCAGAGAACAGGGACAAAAAATTAACTGGTTTGATCATTTCAGACACTCTTGCTGTGTTTGAAGCTGGATGAAATAGCCATCAGTGAAGCAAAGAATAACAGCTTCTTGTAGAATAGCCAGTGGACAAAATTACAGCTAAGTAAAATAAACAGTCCTTCTAAAAACAGACCATAAATCCCAAAATAAACCTTTTCACTATTTAAAGACTGCTTATTAAGCCTGAAAACATTCCAGCTAACAACATGCCTTGACAAAGAAACTGAGTACAGATTGTTGGCCTTGGCTGTACTGGCTTCTGCGGGGATATAATGCTGTCCCCTGGATGATACAATAACTCAGATGTGCTTGAATGCTTTTTAGGTTTATTTCATGAGCCTTATAATGCCTTATCCATTCCTCTAACAAGACTGGGGTTAGTTGAAAAAGCTGCTTTTGGTATATTTTATCTCAGATGGCATGGGCTTGTGAGGTTTGTATAGTAATTCCCTTCAGGGGCTCCCAAAGACACAGGCTAGCTTAAATAAATCTATTGGAATAAACTGATTTGTGGGTCTGCGTTTCCAACTGCCTCCCACTATGTGGCTTAAGACCTGGCTGCCTGTAGGTGGCAGGCCGTAGCGAACAGCTAATGATGAGTCCTCTGGCTCAGGAGGTACGGTTTTACCATGTAGGCACACTTCTTCTCAGTATACTGTGCTATATCATGGAGGTTGTAAAATTTCGTTGTGGCACTAAAACAGTGACACCACAACAGTGACAGCACGTTCAGGCCTTTCTTTGCGACATGCCAAACACTGTACCTTCAAAGTACACAGCATCAGACTCATTCTTTGGATGGGAAAGTGGAAGGAAGCAGATGACCCACTCAGGATCACATAACCTCTTACTGGAGAAGCTGGGAGCTAATAGCCCGTGTCTGCCTTTCTCTTTTAACCACCAGATAATCCTGCCTGCTTTGGAGAGTACATGTCTGAAAGGTTGCTGGAGCTTGGCTGCAGTATTTGAGCAAAGTGGTGGGCTGCTATGTCATGAAAACCTGGAAAAACAGTGAGTCAACGAGAAGTGCTGCATACTACAGTCAGAGCCTGAGTTTAAATTTGACATTGATGAGTTTGAATTTCACTCTGGGATTACCACAAGTTCTGAACTTTCTGAACCAAGACCAAAGCAGGACTCATTCAAACAAGATGCAGCCTCTAGATGTTGTTATCTAAATACCACAGATGACAGCTCTGTCTGTACCACTATGTCACTTTTAATTTGCAAACCTTAATGAAGTTGTTACTTACAGTGATTTCATTGACATATAAATGTTGTCCTTTACTGGATTCTTCTGCACAGGCTGCTCTTCCACAGGGACGTCAGACTCCACTGTAGGGCCAGGCTTTGAAACTTCGGCAGTGCACTGTTGGAAAGGCATAGCATATCCTGGCTCTGCCTACAGAAAAAATCTTCTCAATTTCCCTATTTTGCTCAGTGCTCATGCTGTTTTAACACATTCGCCAATATAGCTTGGCTTTCCCCAGAGAAGTCACTTTGCAGAAACCATAAGCTAGAAGGGTGTTTGAAACTTAGAAATTAATGTTACCTGGTATTATTGACACTACCATTTGCTTTCCTGTCAGGTGGGGACATAACCAGCTATATTCTAAAGTACTACCACAAAAATTTTTGTTACTTTTTAAACAGGTTGAAAAAAGAGTCATGTACTTTGGCTGTGCTTAACTTAAAGCACTTAGATTATATGACAAAACGATATAGTTACTGTCCTTCAGTTAGCTGTACAGTCTTCAGAAAGAGGCTGTGACTTCTGCAGAAGACTGCCCACCTAGCTTCTCCTGACTACAAACTACCTGGGAAGCCTAGAGATATTAGCCTCCCAAATCAGGTGCCAAAATTTGTTTAAAATTACCAGCATGATTCCTCTTGTTCCCTTGTTTCACATTTAAATGTAGATAGCAAAATGTTTCACAGCATTTTTAAAGTACTGCTTTATTTTATTCAGCTTACTGATGCTTCTACAGAATTGCATTTTAAACTATAAAAAAGTAATGTACTGTTACATTTTATAAATTACGTTTTCACTTTTGGAAAAAACCCCCCTGTGATACAATAGGCAAAAGCCATTTACAATGAAACGGTCAATTTGGGGAATTTCAACAAAATCAGCAATGTTTTTGTCAAAATACCGCTTTCTACCAGAAAGATACTTTGAATTAGTCTAATGTATTTTTTCTTGTATGAATGAAAGCTCTATTACCTACTGCTTTATCTATGTATTTTTTTTTTTGCAAAGTACTAGTGGTTCCTCATACCAGTTCCTCTTTGGCTGATTAAATGTCTCCCATCTCCTTGGAGCTATTAAGAAAACAGGACAACTGATAAACTACCTTTGCTATAACACTGCTGGGAGTTTGGTAATAGTCTTCTTCATCCTTT